CTGCTCAGTCCAAGAGGAGATCAACCCTGACTGCTCTGTAGAAGGCCAGATCCTGAAGATGAAACTCAAATACTTTGGCCACCTAATGAGAAGGAAGGACTCACAGGAGAAGAGCCTGATGCTGGGAACGATTGACAGCAAAAGAAGGGACAGCAGAGGATGAGGTGGCTGGATGGAGTCACTGAAGCAGTTGGTGTGAGCTTAGGTGGACTCCAGGAGATGGTGGAGGACAGGAAGACCTGGAGGAATGTTGTCCATGGGGTCGCGATGGGTTGGACACGACTTTGTGACGAACAAAAACAACATATATTTTGGGCTGTGCAATCAAGTCGTCTCCGACTTATGGTGACTCTATGAAGGAGTGTCCTCTAAAAGCTCTTGTCCTTGACAGCCCTGCTTGGCACACAAGGCCGCAGGTTTTGTGTATGGAACTGATCCAGCTCGTATTAGGTCTTCCTCTTCTGCTTTCCCAAGCATTATAGTCTTCGAATACAGAAGGTCCCTGACACACTTGCTGAAGCACAACAGGAAGCCTCATCTGAGAGCAGGCACAGTATTTGTCACTGAAAGCAGACCAGAGTGGCCCAGTAAATCATTCAGAGACGTGCCGGGCAGCCACCTCAGCTGAGGGGCACCTTGGGGTCACAGACATCGTTATGGGCTTGGATATGTTTTGTGACACACTGGCAATGGTGCTCCAAGGTTTCCAGAAATGGAAGCTGGGGCCTTCTGCATTGAAAGGATGTGCTTTCCCCATCAAGCGAAAGACATTCCCCAAGTAAGACCGACAAGAGGGAAAACAGGAAGGTCTTGAAAACGATTTGATGACCATCATCCCCTGTACCAGTGAACCATCCCATTCAGCAGTGTCGGAATGACTATTTTAGCAGAAGAATTTATTACCACTATGAAAGCAAGGCCAGAAGGTATCAGATGTTTGCAAGTCTGAATACTCTTCCAAGGGAAGGGAAAACAGGGAACTGTGGTGAAAGAAAAAGTACCCCAAAATGACTGCAGCTTCAGCAGCAAGGCAAGGAATATCATGCATTTCTGCACCTACTGGTGGAAATTACTTATTTTTTAATCACTCTCACTCATAAAACACTTTAGGTCTAAACTAGCATTCTCTAAGTAAAAGAATTTTAGGGTGTACGCAATACACATTTTGGACTGGGAAAAAAACCCCTAAACATGCACAGAATTGTACCTTTCTGGCCTAGATAGTCTGCTCATGATCACAACAAACCCATTATTTCTGGACAGTGTTCAAAGAACACAAGCACTTTGTAAATGTCTGGAAGACAGTGTAGAAGAAAATTAAGCCATGTTTACATGAGTTAAATCTGAGCACTAATTAATGCAATGCAAAATAAGAATGTTTTTGCTTTATGTCCTTATGAAGGGAAGACTGTCAGGGAGCAAAAGCTGATGGCACTCCAGGAGGGCACATAATGCTATAACCAATGTTGTTAACAGCTGAAAACAGTCTATTCTTAGACAATTACAGGGCCCCAGTTCAGATTTCTAGAAGGGGAAGGCCAAGGGAGCGAGTGTGGTGATGTGAAGAGTGTCTTGGCTAGGACTACGGAGTCCAAAGTTCAAATCCCCACTAGACTTCGGCCTAGTCACTGTCTCCATCAACGACTAGGAGCTCAACCTACCTCAAAGGGTTGTTGCAAGACTAGAATGGGGAAGGAAACGGGTGCTGCTCAGAACTCCTTGGAGGGTGACAAAAAAACATAATGAATAAGGCGACTGAAGGAAGGGTAAGGAAGGAGAGCCATATGAAGGACTAATTTGACTGAACTACAAAAAGCATCATATCTTACAAATATTAGGTAGGGTTAATTTTTATTTATTTCATTTCCACGCTGTCCAGTAGCCAAAGCTTTCTTTTTATTTTGCTGAGCTATAAAATTTGATCGATATGATTAAAAGGTCATGGATCTGGGGTTTTCATCAGCTAAAAATGATGCCTGCCTTTGGCCTGATACATAGACAGGCTGAATTGTTTGTGACAACAATAGGGCTGTGTGTTGCGCTGGAGGGCAGGGCGGAGTTTCAGATGCTCCAATGGAAGGGTCACTGGTGTGGCCTGAGACAAGGTAGGGAGCAGCTGCCTCCCCGAAAAGCACAGGATCACTCCAACCATCTGACGATACCGCAGTGGCACAGGCTGCAGTGAGTCATAATCAGTCACGATCATGCCACAACATGTACCCATATCAAACATGCCTGCAAGCAACGTGTATTGATTTTTTTCTGTTTTTGCATGTACAACACAATCCTTTTAAAAATTAACTAAGCTCAGGATGCAACCCACAGAAGAAGTTCAATCATAACATATCTTGGCTTTGTTTAAGTTTGTTTCCAAGTACTTAGAAAGGAAGAAGAAAAGGTGCTTCTTTCTTCCCTTCAGTGTGGCAGAAACCCAGGATTTTAATAATGGCTTTAACCACCAGAGGAAGACACAACAAGAGCTTGAAAAGCTCCAGAAGGCAATTAGCTCATACCACCAGCAAAACACAAAGCAACCCCCCACCACAACAAAACAAATAAACCTCACCCTGCGGAAAGTGTAGCATGGCCAGCTTCCTTGCACACCTCACTCTCTTGCACCCTCCACCTGGCTGGGCCTCCCAGTTTGGAACTCCCTCCCTCCTGTCTGTGGCTTTGATGTCTGCATTCCCAGAAAAAGAAGAGGCTGCCTCAGTAGGTGCCCTCGCTGGAAGATGGGCCCTTGGGACTTAAAAAACAACAACACAACGTCTCCTGCCTTCAACGAGTCAGTCCCTCTGCAAAGGAATTAAGTAGACAGAGCAGGTAAAAATCAGAGTGAGTTGAAATATGCTTCCCGCATGCAGGTAGATCACTTCACCTGGCCACTTCTTAAGTCATCAAATTCCCCCCCCCCCCGACCTGTCCCATAGCATTCAGTTTTCCTCTCCTCTTTTTCCACTATCCTAGGCCCAACTGGTTTTCCAGGCGCAGCAAGAGCATGACTTGGGTGCTGTTTTCTATAGCATCAGGAATGCTCCGACATATTTTTGCTAGACACAAAAGAGGGAATAAAGGGAAAGCCATTTCCAAGTGAGCCATGCCTTTTTTCAGAAGTATGGCTGCTAAACATGTTAACACTTGCACACTTCTGCCCATTCCAGATTAGAGGCCACCTAAAAGGTGGCCTGTCCGGGGCTTTGGAAGCCAGGGGCTGCTTTGGATCCCGGCTGGGCAGTCCTTGTTCCAGTCTTGTGGGGAAATGAAACCTGATCTGAATCAGCACAGAATCAGGTTTCACAACAAGAGCAAGGTGGGGGGGGGAATCCTCCAGTCAAGCACCGTGCTTCATGTTTCTCCCCCCCCACACACACATAATGTCCGAGCAAATGATTAACGCTGTCAAACAGAATGAGAGAAAAAGTCTTGTCTCCAGTCTCTCCATGTGGAGATGGGAATGGGGGAGAGAACAACATGAATGTGTCGAAAGTTGTACAAAAGAGTATGACGAAGAAACAAAGCTTTTCACCCCGTGGTACAGGGTGGGGAGAAGACTCCACCGGTATGAAAATGTCCAACATCCTGGAAAGAGTAGAGTTCGAAAGTTAGGTTGGTGTTGTGGAGTACAAGTCACAAGTTGAAGGAATCTTTCTGGAGACGGAAGAGCATGAAAATTGCGTTCTTTGGCAAGCTGGATAAACTCACTCCCTTTTTGAAAAATTCTCTCATTTGTTGATTTTTTCTTTTTGCAGAGGGAGAGAAAGGAGGGAAACCATGTGCCCAAAAATGCAGGAGGGGTCGAGCTACAAAGCACTCCTGTGGGTTAAAGGGGAAGTCCTGTGCGGCCAGGAAGAGTTGCCCCAGGCAGAGATTTCTGAAGGTTGTGGGGGGAGAGGGAGCTAAGCGAAGGTCATGAGGCAGAAACGAGCAGGGGGTGTGTGGGGCGGCCTGGTAGGCTCCAAGACTCCAGGATGAGGGTGATAATAGACTGGGGGGGGGGGCTGTTTGCAAGGACAAGCCGACTTTTACTGCAGCGGCCAGGCAAGGAGCGGTTGGGGATGGTCGAAAACGCAAAGCAAAGAGCTGGGGAAGGTAAACGCCATGTTGGTCAAGGAATGAAAGCCAGGCAGGGCCCGGGGGGGGGGGGGGGGGGGGGGAGCGAGAAAGCCAGACGAGAGGAGAGGGGGACAGGAAGGGCCCGGCACAGGCAAGGTGCGAAGTGCTGGTGCGAGAGGAACAAAGCCAGACAAGGTGGGAGGAGAGGAAGGGGCGGCCGGCGAGGCACCGACGGAGGGACCGAGGCCGGGACGCCTCCAGGTCAAATCTCAGCCTGCTACGGGCTCCCTGGGTGGCCTGGGGCAGGCCACTCCCTCTGCGCTCCAGCTTTCCCAGCCAGTGAGATGGGGAGAGCGACCGTGAAAGTCCTACACTGCAGGGCTGTTGTGAGGTTCACCGAGGGTGTTGGGGAAGCACTTCGAACAGTCTTAGGGGCCGAGATGGAGCATGGGCAGAAGCAAAGAAGATTGGGGGAGAGGGGTTCAGCAAGCCCCGCAAAGAGGGGCATAAAAGTTAAATTTGGACAACGAAGCTTTGGAAGAGATTCCATCCAGGCAAAGTAAAAGGAGGGGGAGGCAAGGAAGAAAGAAGGGGGCGGGGGCAAGCTCTTCGGTGAGGCACAGAAGGGGCAGGAAGCCGGGGAGGGGGAGTAGGCTGGGGGCTCCCAGTCCCCCAAGGAGGCCAGTGTCGAGGTTGCGCCGTCGCGTATTGGTAACACCCGGGCTTAAACCCGGGAAAGGAAGGCCCTATTGCAGCACCCACGACCATGTGCCGAGTGCATTTCTCTCGATACCCAGGGAGACGCTCAAAACACCCCACGGCCAGCGGCTTTGTCTCCTTCTCCCCCCCCCCTCCGCCTCGGCCGAGGCGGCGCGGGCGCGCATACACGGGCGCAGAGCCCCGCACCTCCGCTCCCCCGCACGCGAACGCCCCGCGGCCGCGCTCACCTCTTGGACTGCGGCTCGGAGGGGTTGCGATCGCGCTGCCGCCGGTTCTTGAACCAGTTGCTGACCTGCGTGAGCGACAGGCCGGTGATCTTGGCCAGGTTGCGCTTCTCGGCGGGGGAAGGGTACCGGTTCTGCTTGTAGAGCTCCTTGAGCGCGTTGCGCGACTTCTCCTTGAAGCAGTAGACCGTCTCCTCGCCGTCCCAGATGGTGCGCGGCAGCGGGAACTTTCTGCGCAGGCGGTACTTGTCCACGGCGCCCAGCGGCCGCCCGCGGGCCCTCTCCGCCTCGGTGTAGCGCGCCTTGTACCACAGCTCCTGCAGCAGAGGGTGGTTGGCGGCGTCGAAGCTGTGGCTCTCCAGGATGCCGTAGAGCTCCGCGTAAAGCCCCTGGTGGAAGGCCACCAGCGCCCGCGCTTTCAGCAGGCTCTCGTTGCCACGTAGGAGGTCGCTTTGGGGCAGCGACCACAAGAACCGGGCCAGCCGGTCCAGGTTCCCGCCTTGCTGCAGAGCCTCGCAGACGCACGCGACGTGGTCCGGGGAGAAGGCGAGCAGAGCCTGGGGCGAGGAGGACGACGACGACGACGACGACGGCGAGGACAGTGGCGACGAAGCGGCGGCGTGGGCATTCCTCACCAGAAGTTCCGCGTGGAGCAGGACTTGGTCCGCGGCGCTAGCGGCCGCTTCTTCCTCGTCGTCCTCGTCCTCTCCCACCTCCCTTGCAAACACAGGAGCGGCGGCGGCGGCGGCGAGAGCAGGAGGCGGTGCAGACGCGGAGCCTTCCCGGGCTCCTTTCTCCGGCGCCCCGCTGGAGAGCATTTCCAGCACGTTTTCTTGCTTGATCGCCGCCACCACGCCGGGGAGCGTGGTGGTGGGAGAAGCAGAAGACATTTTCCCCCGGCTTGTTTTGGTTTGGAGTTGGGTGGGTGGTGTTTCCCCCCCGGTTCCCCTCCTCCTTTACACCCCCCGGAAAGTGGACACACACGCACGCACGCACACGAACTCCTGCTCCTCCCCCCCCTCCCGCAGCTCCGCCACCCGGCTGGCGTTCAGCCGATCAGGTTTCCTCGCCGCCGCGCAGTAACCATTAAGACAGCTTGTTCCAGCAAAAGTAGTGTAAACGGATCGCGGCTCCTTTCCTCCCCGCCCCTCCTCCCTTTCCTCCTTTCTTTCTTTCTTTTTCCCCAACGTGACTCCTCCAAAGCTTCTCTCTCCAGCTACATATTCTTAATGGCACAAGCTGCCTGCTGGACCCGGGCTGGCTCGTGGATTGGCCAGTCCACACGGAGGGGCGGAGGATCCAGGGTTCCTATAGAAACCGTCAATCAACTCCTCCCCTCGCTTCCCCCCACCCCAACCGCATCTATCCACGCTCCATACGACTTCCTCCCTTTTTTTGAATGCGAAACACCTCTACCTGCAGGGTCGGTGTTTTGTTGCCGTCTTTCACCCGAGAAATGCATTACAAAAAAGCAAAACAAAACTTTCCGAGTTGCCAGAGAAATATCACTTTTCCTTGGGAGTAGGCCTGTCGCAATGAATGGACTTGGAGGGAGATTTGGAACGGATCGCTCGCATGGGGTGCAGTGAACTGACTGGTCAGACCAGGAGCGTTTCGTCCAGCCACTCGGCTAAGGCAGCAAGCTTGCCCTGTTGCCTTGGGAGTGAGTCTCATTGAGCTCCATGGGACTTGCTTCTAAGGAACTATTAGCATGCTGCTGCCTTGAATACTGTGCGAAGTACTGAGCGCCTCTGGAAGTGGGATGGCCCGGGCGTCTTTTTTGGAAGGGATCTCGACTGCTCCCAGCAGCGTTTTCCCCTGGCTGCTTTAGCCACGTGACGGTGCGATCCCGCGCGTGTTTGTTTACCTCGCGTCTCGCTTCTGGGGCGGAGGAGCGCCGCTTTGGGGTGGCCCCCTAGTGAGAGGCACGCTCGTCTCGGAGGGCTCGCCACGCCAGCCGGCCATCCGTTGGAAGCACTTGCGCGTAAATGCGCGCACGCCGGCGCCGTGGCGAGGCGCGGTTCACGTGCGCGGCGTTCCCCCCAGAAAAGGGCCGGTTCTCCCGCGAAGACCAATGGGGTGGCCCGCCGAGCGCGACGAAAGCGCCTTCGCGCGCCCCAGCGAGGGAGGCCGGAGCAGCCCGTCCGCTCCGGGGCTCGAGGGGGCTCCCTGCCGCGGCGCACGCTGCGCAGCGCGCTTCTCACGCCGTGCCGTATTCTGCCCCGTATTCGCCGCTTGTTCGTCTCTCGTGTGGAGCCTCCAGGTGGATTATATCCCGTAAGAAAAACCAGACGATGCAACCCAAGGGTCCGTTTAGCCCCGAAACGTTGCAGTCACGAAGACGTTTGCTTCCTTGGCAGGGCGCTTCGGCTCGGGATTGCAGCTTCACGTCGAAGAAAACACACGTTGCGTGACGCCGCAAGCCTGCGGATTTACGTCTGTTTACTTGGGAGCAAACCTGGCTAATTTCTGTGGGTCTTACTTCCGAGTAGCCCTGAATGAGACGAAAATTTTTTATATTTTTGGAAAATGACGTTCAGGGATGACTAAAGCCATGATATTCTAGGTTTTTTTGTTTTTTGTTTTCTTGCTGTTTAAAAATGCCTTTGAACCATTTCTTCCTTTTGGACCCCCTCCTTGCTTTCATGCTACCTTAGTCGATTTAAGAATACAGCCCAACCCGTCAGAATCGGAAGTTATAGTCACCCCTTTGGGAATGCAAAACCTCACATACAGGGTTTGGGATCTGAAACCGTATGAGTGAATTCGCTTGGAAATATCTCCTGTGTCATTCAGTGGGATTGGACTTCCAAAGAAACCTTGCACAAGACAGATAATGCAAAGTGTTTTCAGAAAAAGAAATGAGAAAAATAGAAAGAAAATGGCTGTAATCAAGTCCCCAAGTCTTCATTTAGGCATTTTAGCCTGCCGCTCAGAATTTAGTTTGGGTTAGTGCCAACCTTGTGGGGTGCTGCCAGGACTATGCGATCCACAAAGCACTTAGGCCATGCTTTGAATTGATTTCCAAGATTTTACCTGATTCATGAATCTCAGCCCAGGGCAGTAATTTTCTTTTGCAAGAGATTATTTTGATTTCAGTTCTATTAAGTGTTACTCAGGGAAACACAGTGGACAATTGATGTGAAATGAATGATTATTGCAGAAGAAAAATTTTGCAAGCTGCTGCAATCCTAAATTGATTTACCTGGGAGTAAGTCTCCACTGAAATCAACAAGACTTGCTCTGAGGAAATATGGTTAGGATTGACTGAGAAGGCAATGAATGGATGCCAAGGGTACTCCTATGTAGAGCAGGCACATTGAAATGGAATTATGTTAGTCGTGATTCTTTTCATCCTCATTGATGACAGGGGAACTATAAAAAACCAGCACTAAAGAAAGGTGTAGAATTTTGCAAACTAGTTAATTAGAAGCCTTTAGATCTCAGATTTGCTATCGATTTTGCCTGTCTGGCTAATCTTAATTCTTCAAAGCTCCTCTGTGACTAATCCACTAACACACCATTGATTTCTAATGCCTCTGAGAGTTAAACATCCACAGTGCACACCAACCTTTCAACAACCCGATCCTAAACAGTTTGGGAATGAATCCTATGGAATTCAAGAGAGCTTGCTTCCAGGAAACTGTGCATGACCTCAAACCTTTGGTTTAGTTTAAGATCTTGGACCAGAGCATTACTATTTGTCTGCCTGGTGATGTTCCCTCACCTACAGATGAGAGTGAGGTTAATTTGCCATGGATCCAAGGAACAACATTTAACAGGGTTACAGTACAATCCTAGATGGCATGTCTCCTCTAAGATAAGCCCTGCTGAGTTCAATGGGACTTACTCCCAGGTAGACATGTATGGGATTACAGTCTTTTAGGATTACTGGCATTTGAAGGATGCTTTTCTACATGCTGCAATCCTGTGCAAGCTTTCTTGGGAGTAAGAACCATTGGATACAATGGGGGTGTTCCTTCTGGGCAAGCATACCTAGGATTGCACACCAAATAATTTCCACTCTCATCCCCAGAGAAGGATGCAATGCAAGGTTGGGGTTTTGTCATATGGAAGTTGCACATGGTAGTCCTACTTGAGTAGACCCATTAAAATGAATAGATCTTAAAGGAGACTACTATTAGATACAACCCTCCATTGGAACTTGATTTAGAGGGACTAATTTCTTCCTAATACCAAGGATTGACCTGTTAAATAAGAGTACCTGTTTTATATTGAAAAGATCCCTCATCTTCAAGCAAGGAAGTACTAGTGTGTGAAATTAGTGCATGCAAAAGGGAGCCTTGGCAGTTGGGCAGTAAAAAAATATATTAAGCAAATGAATAAAAATAGATATACTGAACTAGATGATTCAATCATTTATTTATTTAACATATATCTTGACTTTTTCCTCTTGCAGGAAAGCCAAGGTGGTTACCTTGTCCTCTTCCTCTTCATTTTAGCCTCATAACAACCCTGCAAGGTAGGCTAGGCTGAGTGTCCATGAGTTCTTTATCAGATTTATATCTTGTTTTTTTCTTACAATGAACTCGAAGTGGCTTACCTCATTCCTCCTCCTGCTCTCAGTCTTACCCCACAACAACAACCCTGTGAGGTAGGCTGGACTGAGAATGTGTGACTGGCTCAAAGTCACCCAGTTGGCTCCATGGCTGAGCGGGGACTCGAACCCAGATCTCCTGAGTCCCAGACCTGTGCTTGTAACCACTACACAACACTGCTTGTTAACGATTGGTCCAGAGTCACCCAATAAGTTTCATGGCTGGGCAGGGACTAGAACCATGAACAGTGTTTCTGATATTCCTGTGAAATAGCTCTGCTGAACACAGCTGGGTTTACTTCCTAGCAAACATGCATAGGAGCAGACTGTGTGACCCTTTGGTTTCAATGGGAAATGTGAATATATGCTTAACCTTTTCCCATGGGGGGGTAGTGGGCCTCTAAAAAGTGCTTGCTTTGGGTTGAACTGCACCCGGTGATTTTAAATACACCTGATTCCTTGATCAGTCTGATCTTTAAAGATTGGGGGTAAACCTTATTGAGCTTTGTAGGACTGGCTCCTGTGTACATATTTCTGGAAGTATTGGAGCTCTGATCACACTACAGAGACCATGTGGAGGCACAACACAGCGTGGCTGGTAGAGGAATTCTGGGAATTCTAGGGCTTTTCGGTCTAGGCAAGAATAAGATCTCACTTCCACCAACTTGGTATAGCCAAGCCTTGTAGTTATACATTCACAACCCTTGCATTACCTTTACCATTACTTATATAAGACTTGCTTCTCTGCACTGGAGACTATGCATGTTTACCCAGAAAAAAGACCTCACTGCATCCATGGAATTTCCTTACCTCCAAATTCATGAGCATAGAATTGGCCCCAAGTGAATGCTGACTTGGGAGGAAGTTCCAGTGACTTCAGTGTGTGCAGTTTATTTCTAGGGAAGTACATATGCTTGCAGTGTGACTGGGCAGCCAGGCACACCCAAACCCTTTGAAATCAAGTCTTCAAGATGCATGGAGAGTATTTAGCATCTGTCCTGCTTTGTGCTCACAGCAACCCTGGAATTCAAGTCCAATAGTCAACAGATGCAACCACCACCCCTCTGTAGGTACTATTTAGATGTCTCATTAAAATCACTGGGATTTCCTTTGAAGTAAATCTGCATACAATTCGGTTATTACTACTGAAATCATTGCTAAATTGCTTTCCCCAATCAGGTGCCCTGGAAAACTCAATTTTCCTGACTGTTGGCCATGTTGGCTGAGACTGATGAGAGCTGAAGTCCAGTTTGGGAAGGCTGATTTCTGATATCAAAAGTCTACTGGGTGCAACCTTATTTATTTAAAAATTTTATATCCCGTCACTGCATGCCTTGGCATCTCAGGACGGCTTACAAACCTTGAACCCTAATCCTGCAATTCTATACCTGTATATACAGAGCAATGCCCCATTGAGCTCAATAGGACTCAGTCCTGGAAAATTAGGTATAGGCTGTGGCCCTCTCTTAAGACTTATTATGGAGTAAGCCATACTGAACATAGAGGGATTGGCTGTTTAGTATGTATAGGAATGCATGGTAAGGCTACAATCTTATGAACGCCTGCTTAAGCCAAAGCCCTGTGGAAGACAGTGGGGTAAACTGTTGGGTAAAAAGGAACATCTCACGGGATCTACTAGGTTTTTTGTTGACTTCTTTGAGGTCTCTCCGGGCAACCTTGTCTTCGGGGCAAGAGCCACCTTTTGTATCAGGTTTAAAGCAAAATCTGCAGCTGTGGCTTTTAAGGCTACCATGCTCACATCTGGAACTGACAATGGCAATTACATCCAAGTAAGCAGGTAATGTGCAGCTTGAGCAATTACTTTAAAGCAATAGAAAGCTTGGGCAATTCACTGAGTACCTAAGAATGCTTTCCTGGATCAGACCAATGCCCAACTGATCCAACATTTTCTCCCAGGAGTCACAAGCAGGATATGCATGCAACAGCACCCTCTTGCCCATGTTCCCCAGTCATTGGAGTGCTACTAGAGGGTAGCATCCAGTCCATGAGACTAGGGGCCACTGGTCTCCAATGGGTCCATTAGAAAGGGTCCAGAGGAAGGCAGCACACATGATCCAGGGTTTGGAGACCCTGCCTGTGATGAGAGAACTGGGCATGTTCAGCCTTGAGAAGAGAAGACAGAGAGAGAACATGATATCCCTCTATAAGTACTTCAAAGAATGTCACAAAAAGGACGGTCAAGATCTCACTGATAACAGAATGTAGACATGGAATAATCAAGTCACGACAACGCAGTTTCAGGCTAGGTATCAGGAAAAGTTGGTTCCACTGGTTCAGAGCAATATGACAGTGGAATCAGTTGCCTAGAGAGGTGGGGGGCTCTCCCACACTGGAGACATTCAAGGTGAACCTGGACAGCCACCTGAGTGGGATGGTGTAATTTAGTGTCCTGCAACAGCAGGGGGTTGGACTGGATGGCCTTCATGGTCCCTTCCAACTCTGCTATTCTATAGTTCTATGATTCCTATCCTCCAGGGCTTGTCCAGTCCCCATTAAAGAACTGACTCCAGTGCTGAACAAGGACAATAGATTAGGGGCCCATCAGCAAGTCCTCTGATGATGATCACAATGGAAAATAAACATTTGAGAGCAAAAGGTGAGTCCTGCTGTATCCCACCGAGGTCCGTCTAGTCCAGCCGTCTGTTGACACAGTGGCTGACCGGTTGCTCCCAGGAAACCCGCGAGCAAGACATGAGTGCAACAGCACACCCTCCTGCCCATGTTCCCCAGCAACCGGTCAGATTGCTGGAGGTAGCACAGAGCCACCGGGGCTCCGTGCTTTGGCCCCACGCCGCCGCCGAAGTCCTTCACTTTACCGCTTGCGTCCCCTTTCAGGGCATGACCCCCTCGGGCAAGGATGTCGTCCATTACTCTCCTCCCCATCCCCCTTTCCAGCACTTAGCCGGAGAAGCAAACGGTTCGTGCCACCAAAGCGGAACTATTGTTTCGCGGCGCGGGATCTGGGCGGCCCTTGTTTGCGGAGGGACGCGGCTCTCGAGAGGCGAGGAGCGCTCGGCAGGGGCAGAAGGGCTCGCTTGCGATCTGGCAGCGGCAGGAGCAGCAGCTCTTCCTGGTCGGCGGTCGTCATGGATGACCAGGGCTGCCCCCGGTGCAAGACCACCAAGTACAGGAACCCCTCCCTCAAGCTGATGGTCAACGTCTGCGGGCACACGCTGTAAGTAGCGTCGGCTCGAGGGGCGAATTGGGGAGCGTCGGCGGCGAAGGGGTTAACGCCTCTCTCTCTCTGGAGCCTCCCGGGGTCCTCCAGATGTTGCTGCACTACAGTGCCCATCAGGCCCTCGCTAGCATAGTCAGTGGGGAGGCGAGGTGGGAGTCGCAGCCTGGCGACATCTGGCAGCCCCATCCCTAATTTACACTGCAATTCTTTTTGTACCTTCTCAGAAGTAAGTGCTATTAATGGGTTTTCCCCCCAGGTAAATGTACACATGTTCGCATCTTCAGGGCGTCATCCTTTGTATGTTTAGAAAGGGGAGAAGACCTACAACTCCCAGCATTCTCCAGCCAGCATGGTTGGCTGGGGAATGCTGGGAGTTGTAGGACTTTTTTTCGTTAAACATGTGTTGGGTTCTGCCCTCAGAGGCTCAAGTTTGTACAGAAGTCACGCTCTTACTTCCTAGAGCATATCACATCTATCCCAGGGGATGGAAATACACTCTGCAGATGCATTTTTCAGAGGGGTAGCTGTGTTAGTCTTTTGTGGCAAAAAGACGTTCTTGTGCGATCTCAAAGGTTTATTCTGGTAAGAGCTTTTGTGAACACTATCCTCTTAAGGTTGTTCGTGTTTCTCAAGTGCCAGGAGATATGGGCTGAGTTCTAGCTTTGTTTGAAGCACTGCAAATAACCACCTTTCTGGGTAAATGGATATTTTTGCTGCAACAAGCTAATGTAACTACCAAGGATGTTGTGGGATTTTAAATGTTAACAGCTGTATAAAAAGTGAAAGACTGTACTTTTTGCATTTCATTTCCATTTAACTCAGCTGGTTACAACTTGTTTTTATTTACATATCTATGAGTTGCGTGCACAAATGTACTGTCAACTTAATCCATTTGATGAAGTCAACTTTAGTTCCACAAAGCTTAAGTGTAATAAATCTTTTAGTCGAGGAGATGTTATGAAAACTCTGCATTGTTCTTTTGGTGTGGAATTCATCTTCTAGTATGATTAATTTTCCCACTCTGAGCATGTTGGCCCAGCAAAATAATGATGGAGAGGGATGACCTGTGGCTTAATTTCTGAAGTGAATGTTTTGGTGTCCTGGTGTGTCTAATAGTCTTACATGTTTCCTGGTTGTGATGTGGGAAAATGCCTGTCTGTAGTTGGTGGGTTGGTGTGTTTGCACTTTGCCAGAAGCACTAAACTGTTTTGATTCATATGTTACTTCTAGGCTGAGATTAGGCATTGCAAACTCTGGCGCAAGTTTAGCCCCAAAGGGGGATGCAGTTCAGGTGCAGTGGAGGCTGCTTAGGAATGTTTTTGGAACTTGTCAATGCTTGTGTGCTTCTTTTCTTGGGCTCTTTCAGCATCAGAAACTACTTTGTGTATTTGAACAGTGCAGTCCTATGTATGTCTGCTTAGAAGTAAGTCCCATTGAGTTAAAGGGGGTTTAACCTCTAGGTAAGGATGTCTGGGGTTACAACCTACTGATAGAATTTATTTATTTATTTAAAACATTTCTATGCCGCCCCATTTGCTGAAGCCTCGGGGCGGCTCACAACATAAAATTAAAATATAATACATTCAAAATATAAAACAAATTAACAGTATAAAATAATCCTATCCATGTTCAGAAGAAAAAAAGCTGTATAATTCATAGCATGTCCATGGCTGGCTGGAGGGATCCTGGGAGCTATAGCACTTTTTCTGTCCAAGCATGCATAGCATTGTGTCTTAAATGGATTTTTTTTAAAGGATGTGCTTTGCAATAAACTAAGTTGCAGCTGTTACCTAAGAATTTCTGCAGCACTTGGCACATTTATTGCAATACCATCAAGTCACATTGCAGGTTTTTTATTGTAAAGAGTAAAAAAGGTCTGCCCAACTTGTCTTCAGAAAGAAAGCAGAGGAACTTGCGAGTTCTCTGCCTCAAGGATTCTATAGTGTTGAGTGTGAGCTGGGAGTTCCTTGGTTCCAATTTTGTCTTAGCTGTAAATTTAATGAATAGTCTGTGAGGAGTTACTGTTTTCTGCAGCATATGGGATGATAATATTGGCCTCTGATAGAGGACTGGTGTCAAATATAGAATCCATGATGTAAATACTTGACAGAGCTATGCAAATATTTTTAGAGACAGTCAGGGTTGCTTCAGATTGGATACCCAAATGGCAACTGCATTAATTATCTAGGAAACAATATTACACAGAATTCCTCAAAAAGGAATGCTAATAGACAAAATGTTGTGATGGTGTCTCACTTGATGTATGTGTGTTGTGAGAATATTTTGATGATGGTGTTTCCTCACGGATTCTGTCTTGAGCAAGAAGTACTGAATTTCATGCCATCAACATTGAGCAATGCTTGGCTAGATTACATTATTCATAGGTTGCTAAACTGTGGTTTATGTTAGCCATGGTTTGTTGCTTTATCCATGACTTGTTTCACAGTCCACAGATTGCTTTCCTTGTTTATGGTTTGTTTCTCTACTGCATTCTTCCAGCCTTGTTTTGCCTGCCTTTTGTTTCAGGCTGTTCTTACTGGTTGCCTCTTTTTCAAGATACAAATGAGCCAGGGCTTCAGGGATGGTTCTGGGTACAGACATCATGACAAGCAAGCAAGGCTTTATATACCAGATAGTTTGTAGCTGTTTAACAATTGTTTCTGGAGATGAGTTCAGATTTGATGGCAAGTTGGATTTCAGCAAACTGTACCATGACCTAACATTGTGTGAACAAGATCATGATTTCTTTTTCCGGGATGCTCAGGTTAATAGAATGACTGCACTTCCCTTCAGATTGGTTCTTTCCTTTTTCATATTAATGTTATGGATTTTAAACTTAATTGAACCCCTGCCCAAATCAATCAAATATCACACCAAAGTCATTTATAACAGGCTACATCAAGAACAATATGACATGCTTCCTGTTTATGCTATGCCAGTAATGTGGAAAAAACAGACCCCATAGTTCCAAAAGAATTGCCCTTATATTACTCTTCCCGAAGATGCTTATTCTAAAAAAATCAATTTATTTATTGGCAGTTTGTATCTCTTGAACAACACTTACTGCTGGCTAAGTTTCAAAATACATTGTCTTCCATTCCATGCATGATAGTTGTTGAAGACTGACCAGAAATGTTGTATTGTGCAGCATAATTAGGATTACTAGCAATGTATTATATTTAATCTGTAGTGCCTGTTTAACCATTTTGGTGTTGTATGGTTCTCCGAAGCAATCATACCTCTTCTGATAAAATATAATTTAAACATATAACTTCATTAAAAAATAATAACTAAAGCAAATGCCCCGTGCTTAAAACACAAAGTAGAAACCTGGGGGAAAAACCTCTAATCTAGTCTACTCCTGATGAACTATTTGAACAGTTCTAGGGCTTTCCCCTCCTGTGATGGTGGATTCATCCACTTGCAGACTCCACCTGCAACTGGGAGTGGTATATTCCCCGCAAGGCTGTATCAGACACTTGTTCTAAATGTATAAACTAGCCTTGGGAATCTGTTCCAAGTCCTTAAGAGGACTTTTTACATTTTCCTGCGGAGAAACAAGATGCTGTTTGTGGTCTATTATTTGCACAGGGCACACATTTTAATGGACCGTGGTAGCCAGGCTTGTCCCATAGCACTGAACCCCCTGAAGTGTAGAAGGCTGGTGAGGTGCCCCATTGTTGCCCAGAATCTGAAGAAGAGCAGTGGACTCTTAACCGAAGGGGGGAAAAAGCACTCTCTCATATTTTATTTAGCTATTGCTCTTTATTTCATTTTTTAAAAACATAGCTCTCATAAGATGGGCTACCATATGAAAGTACATTCTAGCCAAAGTCAAGCTTTCCTGTTTCTGGTGGGAAAGTTGAACAGGTGCTTACATTTGGCATTTATTTAAGAGGGCCTGAATATAGTATACTTTGGCTGGATCTTGTCCTTGTTCTAACTCAAAGGGAGAGAAGTCCTGAATGAGCGTGGCAATGTTTGATTGCTTTGGCGGTGCCTAACTTTCTCTCTTAGGTATCTGCCTGCCTGCCTGCCTGCCTTTATTTGAGACCACTAAGTCGATCTGTTACACTTCCTGCTTAAGTTTCAGTGCCTGAAATTAATCTTGCTTGGGAAACCTTACATTTATTGTGCATCTTACAGGCATTTAAGAAAGAAAGGAAATACCTGCACAAGGAAAATTGTATCCCATGAATGTTATGTTGATAGGACTGTGGAAAAGAGATTTATGGGAACTTGTAAAATGTGCCACATGGTCTCCAAAAGTTAGGGGCCAGAGTCTTGCATGGGGGATAAATATATATGCAGCACTGTTTAATAATTGGACTTGTTGTTCAGCTACTTTGCAATGTATGTTTTCCCCATGCCATAGAGAAAGGTGTGTCTGTCTTGTCAGTTGAACTTTCTAAAGGGGCTCTATTCCTATTCTGTGTAAACAAAAACTGCTGTTAACAGCATTTGGGGTCTCTCTTGACCCCAGGTGAAGCTAAGCTGTCTCAGGCTAGAAAAATGCTGCATATGAAAGGCCTTTGTTCTAACTGAAAATTTTCCCTAGGCGTTTTCAAAATAAGAATGGTTTTCCACTCTCAGCAAGTACAGGTTATATAAACTTTAATCCTTCTGAAGGCTATGTGAAATGAAAAATCTGCATAAAAATGCTTGGGTTGTTGTCTTTTTCTCCGCATTACAATTGTTTGGCATATGAACTTAAAAAAAAAAAAAGACCAAAACAAAACAGGGCAAAGCCTTCCCTCCGTGGATTTTAATTCTGCTTGTTGGAGGTTTTAGTTAAGAATCTTAGCCTTAAAAAGAGACCAAGATGATCTGTGTTGAACCTTCTTTTGTCCTGTGTTTGGGGAATAAAAGTACCCCAAATATCTTCTTGATATTCTGGGGTACTTTTGTATCCCAGGAATGTTTTGGTTTTGGCATGTTTGGTGTGTGTATGAAAATTAGATTTATATCCCACCTTTTTTTCTTACAGTGAATTCAGA